TGCTAAAAATTAGACAGTTCTCTTCTAGTTCTCAGAACTACACGAAAACTCTTTAATTATTAACAGAACTATCAATATACGGCCAGCATATCACACATATACTCAAAAATGCGTGTTTTTCGGGTAAATTAATTGTTTAAAAAATTTTCTAATTATTTTAGTTGTCAGAACTCTTTGGAAAAGCAATGTACTCGCCCAGAACTAGAAGAGAACTGTCAATTTTTTAGCAGAACTATCAATATGCGGCCAGCATATCACATATATATACAAAAATAGCGTGTTTTCGGGTAAATAATTGTTAAAAATTTTCTAATTATTTTAGTCGTCAGAACTCTTTGGAAAAGCAATGTACTGGCTCAGAACTACACGAAAACTCTTTAATTGTCAACAGAACTATCAATATACGGCCAGCATATCACATATATGTTCAGTGTCCTCTATTTTTTATCTGCTAACTTTCCGTAGCAGATCATTTTTTCGATCGGTGTTTTTTTATAAAATCACCAGAACTATCATTAAAAACTATCAGGAACTATAGAACTCGACTGCATGCGACAAGAACTCTCTTTTATTTTTGATCTGCTAGAAAATGATCTGCTACGGGAAGTTAGCAGATCATTTTTTCGATTGGTGTTTTTTTTGGATAAAATCACTAGAACTATTACTAAAAACTATAAGGAACTATAGAACTCGACTGCATGCGACAAGAACTCTCTTTTATTTTTGATCTGCTGGAAAATGATATGCTAGGTTCACGAACATTGACTTTCTTTTATATAAAATATTCTAATGCTGGAGCAGTTATTTAAATTAAATCTTTAGATACGATATAATTAAGTTTTAAATTACGCTATTATCAAAATAAAGTACATTTAAAATTAAAGAAGCTTTAAAAATAAAATTAATAAAATTGCGAAACACTAGAATGCAACATAAACCACGTCGAGGTTATTTAAAAAATGGCGCAATGCGTTCCGAATGACAAAGCTATTATCCGTGAAATTTCAACGGAACGCAATATGTTTTTGTCCCGTTTTAATGCCGTCAGTTAATTTTGCGACACACGTTTTTTAGTGCGTATAACGGGGTTATTTCAGCTGCGTAGTCGAAACTGATGTGTGCAACGGCAAATACGAATGATATTCGGTCTAAAATTAACCGCTTGCTTCTCATTGAAAAAATCGCTCGGAGGAAAAAGAAAAGAACGTGACAATTGCGAAGCAAGAATAAGAAGCCGCAGAAGGAAGAGAGGAAGAAATGAGTATGCGGTCACGAGTGCGAGAAATATGAAATTTCACGGCGTTGCCGTCGAGAAGGGGTCACGTCCATTCGAATGAGAGCTTCTCTCGTGAAACCAACCCTCCTTATAATCTCGCTGGAAATTCACCGGCATAACTATCGTGAATACGTGTTGCGCGGCTCTCTTCTCCCGACAGCCGAGAAAGCGGTACGAACGATAAGATGCGGGATGAATAAGATGGGAGAATACGCGCTTCGTTTAAAAATAAACTGTTCTAAATAAATAGTTAAAAATATTAATATGTCAAAGTTATATTTGTATTCTATGTATCAAATGTATGACATATTATAATTTTCAAAATAAGAATAAGAATTTATATAATATATAATTTAAAAAATTATTTTTTTGTTATTTTAATCAACAAGAATTAATGCAATATCGAGGATTGTGCTAATGTGCTACTTGTAGCTAATGTTAACATTTAACATTTCGTCATTGTTATTTATTTTTGCAAATGTTGCGAGAGAATTTACACTCTATCGAGATAATCAATCAATAAATATCCAGAAACCGATAAGATTTAAGACAACCGATAAGATTCAAGACAACCGATAAGAACAAGAAATATAAATAGATAAGCTGCAAATAAAAGCGATTTGAAATATTGCCAATTGAATCTTGATAGACATTTCCATAAGCATATTGATAAAATCCTACATGAAATTAAATTTTAATGTAAAATATAACCTATATCATAGAAAGTTTCTATACAAAACATATTAATATAATGATTTGAAATAAATCAAGTTTATAAACTTGATTTATTATTCATTATGTATATGTACTTGATCTTATTACAAATTTTTGTAAGAATATCTCTCGCAAAACTTTTTTCGTGAAAGATAACTTTTCCGTGATCCCGTGGGATCAATAGATCAAACTTTATTAACCCATCAATTACCGGTATATTAAATACAGATAAAGCTACTTTATTGTTATCTAATTCTTTTAATCAATTTATTGGAGTATTGTTTTTTTAGAACATGTTTCGGCCTCGCAGATAGACACAATAATTATCTAGCATTAGAGCAGCAAATCGCGCAGATTTGGCGTTCAAATTTTACGTGCGTCGGGCGGAATGTCACTCGAGAATGGACATTCGAGCGGTTCGTCGCTGCGAAGCATCCGAAACGACATTTGTCAATGTTGTCAGGCGAACAGTAGTAGTTTGCGAATGTAGCGGAAAAATTTCACCGTTGCGCGCGGCTGCGATAAATTACTGTGGCGTCGAATCGGCGCGATGCATACAGTAGCGCCCAAATGTAACCCCGTTTTGGTAAGCGTATTTTTATCGCCCGGCATTTTGCAAATCGTCGAGCAGAAGCTCTTTCGACATTATAAATATATTATAAAGATTCTCGAATAATGCAGCGCGATCATATCACTGGCGAGAACACACGCGTTTCGAAACTTAATATTTGTAAAAGATAATAGACATTAATATGATTTATTTAATTTAGCTTACTCAAAGTAAATGTGTGTGTATGTGTGTATCAAATGCAGAAATTCTTGAATATATAGAAGTGGAGAAAGAATATTTAGATAAAATCTGTTAATTAAACTATTTTTCATATTTTCTTTTACTTACTTATATAATTTTTATCGTCACAACTAACAATTTTGTGTTAATTATCTCTAGTTATAATTTAATTTTTTTTGCATTTTTGCAATTTGGAAAGCAAACCTTTCTAATAAACATGGTTTGTAAATTTGTTATCTTACACATGTACATCATTACTAAACACTTGAGAAGGTATTTTAGATACCTTAAATATGCGCGCTAAATAAATATGAATCTCTTTATCAGTTTATCTCTGAAGCTGTCTTTGAAAAATTGGTACTCTTTCAACTTGTCAAACCACGTTGAATACTATTTACAAACATTTTAATTAAATTTGTCCTCTGATCAACTGAAAACTCGGTTAATTACTCGTTAAATGGTAGTGGGATGTTGATAAAAGCCTGGTATATATAAAAGCTGATAAACTGACATATACATTAATATTGCACGATCGCCGACGCCCCTCAGAGACTTTTACAAATACGACGATGAGCGAAGAGAATGTAGACAATCAGGTAAGAACGTGTTATTGATAGACTCGACGAAATAACATTTGTGTCAGTGAAATTATTGTCGTGCTGTGTATCTCCGCTTTTTCACAGTGCACGCCCTCGTTCAGAATCGAGGATAATATATTGATTGGCGCGGAGGTAACTCATCCGGGATGCAAGAACGTCGGAAAACTAGTTCTCGATAGGTTGAGGAGTAAACCGGATTTCATCGGACAGGTACTGTCGCATGAAAATCTTATGATTGATCAGGCACTAGCGTAGCTCTGTAAGCTCCAATTAGCTTTGCGCTTGACAAAACTAAATGAACTTAGAAGTGACAACCAGATGATAAATGAAAAAGTACAGACTTTCTAGAGTTTCTCGCATTCAGCGACTGGCAATACTGTTTATACAGATTCGATCGACAATTCTTGAGTACTTAAAAAACTGAAAAAAAAAGAATAATTTTTCAAATAATGCAATTTTAAATAAATTACACGAATAAATATACATTTTATGCAAAATTTCATAAAATGTTTAGGTGGAGGCTGTTTCGGGAAAAGAGACCACTTATGCGGAAATGGCAGAACGAAGCGTCAAGTGCGCTTTGTGGTTAAAAAAGCATGGAATTCAAAAAGGTGATAAAGTTGGGATATGGACTGACAATCACTTGGACACATACGCGCCAGTATTCGCATGTTTGTACGTTGCTGCGGTAATCTGTCCATGGGACCACAATGTAACAAAAAGTACGTCATTCTTGACATAAATATTGTATATTTACATTTTATCAGCTCGCTGAATAAAATCTTAAATAATAAATATAACTGTTAACTAAATTTCTAAAAAATAATTAGCAGAAATAATATCACACAA